AAAAAAAAAAATAACAAAACAAAACAAAAAAAAAACCAAAAAACTAAAACACTGGACCTGTGAAGAAAAGCTAAAATGAGTTTTTGGTTTTGTTTTGCTTGGAAAAATAAAGGTTAAGTGGAGACAATGTGGTTCAGGTACAACCAGAGGTGTTACAAATTCATGTTTTCCAGGGCTGCATTCTTAGCTGTTTTCTCCCATGAGTAGCAGACAGTACCCAGCAACCTGCTTGGTCACCTTTCCCCAGCCCCACCATTTCCCATCAAACCTTGACCCATGAAGGCTAACTAACAGATTTAGGTACCTTGCTCTCCAGTCTAGACTTTCATCTGAAGGCCAGCCCTGGTTTTCCAGCTGCTCTCCGATTACTTCTACTTCAATGTTCTGCAGTCAACTCAAGTTCAATGTACCTCAAAACTTAGGTCATTAGAGTCTTCCCAGCATTATTCATCCAAACTGTGCTCTCTCCTCAGAGTTCTTTTCTTTGATAATGGCAGCACCAATTTCCCTTCTCACCCAAGTTCAAGCCATCAAATCAGGTTTTCTTTCTTCTTTTCCATTAGCCCCTCCATCCTATTAGTCATCAGATTCTATGAATTCACCTTCTTCCATGTATTTTAAATTTATCTTTTCCTCTCTATTTCCTGTGCTCCTAGTTTAGGCTCTTATCAACTTTTGCCAGAATTAGAAGCAGAATTATGTTTCACTGAAACCACACTTGTTATAATAAAGCTATAAATGAAGGCAATGGTTACCTGTACTATTATAATTGCATTTTCAGCATTTGGCTTCCTTACTCTAGCACCCAAAATCCGTCCTCTGTCACTGTTGTTTTTGTAAATTACTTATCAGGTCATCCTACCACACTGCTTCAAAAGACCTTTAATAACTCTGGGAGACTAATGCTTCTGCTCTTCAGCATGGCCCTTGAGACCCTCAGTTTGTACTTAGCTTATTTTTTCTGGTTTTATTTTCTATCACTTTGGATCTTTCTAGCTATAGCAGAGATCTCTCTGTGTCTTGAATCTTTTTTTTTTTTTTGTTCTTAAAAAAAAAAGAAGAAGAAAGAAAGAAAGAAAAAGAATGAAGGAGAGGAAGAAAGAGAAAGAGGAAGAGGGAGAGAGAACGGGGGTGTTGCTTTATTGCCCCGGCTAGAATGCAGTCTAAAAATGGGTATGCCTATAATTGTGCTTACTAATAGAGACATGAAAAAAAAATGAGGGAAGAAAATAACAAACAAGCAGCCAACCAATATTTCATTGAAACCTGTAGATAGATGTGATGTGGTACTGATAAGAGTGTATATTTTGTGTATTTAAAGTGGAGAGTTCTATAAATGTTAATTAAGCTTACTTGTTCCAGATCTGAGTTCAAATCCTTGATGTCATTGTTAATTTTCTGTCTCATTGATCTGTGTAATATTGATGTTGAAGTTTCCCATATTATTGTGTGGGAGTCTAAGTCTCTTTATAAGCCTTATATATCTGGGTATTCCTGTATTGGGTGCATATATATTTAGGATCTTTAGCTCTTCTTGTTGCATTGATCCTTTTATCATTATGTAATATCCTTCTTTGCTTCTTTAGATCTTTGTTGCTTTAAAGCAACTCTTGCTTTTTATTTATTTATTTATTTTTGCTCTCCATTTGGTTGGTAAATCTTTCTCCATCCCTTTGAGTCTTTGTGTATCCTTGCACGTGAGATGGGTCTGGATGCAGCATACCAATGGGTTTTGGCTTTTTTTGCCTGTCTGTATCTTTGGATTAGGGGATTTAGTCAATTTAAATTTAGAATTAATATATGTGAGTTTAATACTGCCATTTAATGTTAGCTGGCTGTTTTGCCTATTAGTTGATGTAAATTCTTGATTATGTTGATGCTTTCTACTTTTTGGTATTTTTTAGAAAGGCTGATACTGGTTGTTCCTTTCTATGTGTAGTGGTTCTTTCAGAAGCTCTTGTAAAGCAGGCCTGGTGGTGATGAAATCTCTGAGTGCTTGCTTGTTCACAAAAGATTTTGTTTTTCCTTCACTTATGAAGCTTAGTTTGGCTGGATGTAAAATTCTGGGTTGAAAGTTCTTTTCTTTAAGGATGTTGAATATTGGCCCCCACTCTCTTCTAGCGTGTAGGGTTTCTGCTGAGAGATCTGCTGTGAGTCTGATGGGCTTCCCTTTATGGGTAACCTGACCTTTCTCTCTGGCTGCCCTCAGTATTTTCTCCTTCACTGCAACCCTGGTGAATCTGACGATTATGTGCCTTGAGGTTGGTCTTCTTGAGGAATATCTTTGTGGTGTTCTCTGTATTACCTGGAGTTGAATATTATCCTGCCTTGCTAGGTTGGGAAAGTTTTCCTGAATAATATCCTGAAGCGTATTTTCCAACTTGGATTGATTCTCTTTGTCACATTCAGGTACACCTATCAAGCGTAGATTAGGTCTTTTCACATAGTCCCATATTTCTTGGAGACTTTGCTCGTTCCTTTTTATCCTTTTTTCTCTAATCTTGTCTTCTCGTTTTATTTCATTAAGTTGGTCTTCGACTTCTGATATCTTTTCTTCTGCTTGATCTATTCGGCTGTTAAAACTTGTGCATAGTTCGCGAAGTTCTCATGTTGTGTTTTTCAGCTCCATTAATTCATGTATATTCCTCTCTAAATTGTGTATTCTTGTTATCATTTCGTCAAACCTTTTTACAAAGTTCTTAGTTTCTTTGCATTGGGTTAGAACAAGTACTTTTAATTCACAGAAGTTTCTTATCATCCACCTTTTGAAGGCTGCTTCTGTTAATGGAACACACTCGTTCTCCATCAGGCCTTGTTCCATTGCTGATGAGGAACTGTGATCCCCTGTAGAGGGAGAGGCATTCTGATTTTGGGTATTCTCAGCCTTTTTAGGCTGTTTTCTTCCCTTCTTTATAGATTTATCCACCTGTGGTCTTTATAATTACCGTCTTTATAATTGGGCTTCTGAGTGGACGTCCAACTTGTTGATTCCCAGCGCTAAAATCTGAGCAACTCACTGCGCCGGCCAAAACAGCGGCGTTATGATTGATGGTGCTTTTCTGACTCTGCACCAAGAACCACCGCACCAAGGCAGCGGCAAAACTGCCTCGCCGGCCACAAGAGTCGGGCTGGCGACCTATGGGGCTCCTCTGCTGGGAAACTCCTGGTGCGTGAGCAACAAAAATTCATCTGAAAATGTGGCGTCCTCTCATTCTCTGCGCTTTCACTGGGAGCTACAATCCCGAGCTGCTAATGATCAGCCATCTTGGATCTCTCTCTCTGTGTCTTGAATCTTTATCGAAGTTTCATTTCACCCTGCCTCTGTAGATGTTATTCCCTCTTCTTTAAACGCCTTTTTTTTTTCTATCTTAAAAGATCCAGTATCAACTTTTATGAGGCTTTATTCCAAATCCTGCTGGAGTATGTCTCTCTCTCTCTCTTTCCCCCCACACACAGAGGTATAAAGTAGTCCTCCTTATTTTGGGGGATACATTTCAAGACCCCAGATGCCTGAAATCGTGGCTATTACTGAACCCTATGTATATAGTCTGTTTTTTCTTATACATACATATCTAAGACAAACTTTCACCCTTGCATTTACTTTATTTTAGAGACGGGGTCTTACTCTTTCACCCAGGTGGGAGTACAGTGGTGTGATCAAGGCTCACTGTAGCCTCAACACCCCCCCAGGCTCAAGCCATCCTCCCAACTTAGTCTTCCAAGTAGCTGCAACTACAGGCCCACGCCATCACACCCAGCTAATTTTTGTATTTTTTGTAGAAACCAGGTTTTGCCGTGTTGCCCAGGCTGGTCCTGAACTCCTGATCTCAAGCGATTTGCTCATTTCCTGCCTCTCAAAGTGCTAGAATTACAGATATGAGCTACCACACCCAGCTTACCTTTTCGTATGACTTCTCTTTGGCATATCCAAATTGTCAGCATCTCTACCTTCACACTTTGGCACTACTATTACGTAAAACAAGGTTTACCTGAATGCAGCACTGTGATACCATGACAGCCCATCTGATCCCAGAGATGGCTGCTAAGTGACTATCACGAGGGGAGGGCAGGGAACATAGACAGTGTGATCGCTAGACAAAGGGATGATTCACCTCCCTTGAGGGACTGAAGCGGACTGCTTGAGATTTCATCATGCTACTCAGAACAGCACACAGTTTAAAACTTTTGTTTATTTGTGGAATTTTCATTTTAATATTTTTGAACTGCAGCTGACTGAGGGTAACTAAGACCTTGGAAAGTGAAAGCATAGATTAAGTGGAACTACTGTGTGTGTACAGACATATATACACACACACAGACACATACATGTATGTATAGATACATAAACCTATATCATATACATATATGTACATATATGTATAGATCTCTATATATACATATTTATAGATATACATTCTTATATAAACTAGACTTTACATTCTTTGACATTAGGAAATGTATTTTATCTATTACTTATCAGAAGACCCTAGATGGTCAA